CGGCCTATCGGTGTTCATATTACAACAAAGTGCCTTCACTTTTCCAAAGGGTTCGTCGCAGCTAGCTTCAGTCAGACACCCACCACAAATCCTTAAAACGCTTTCTTTTATGTGTGGTAGCTGCCTGACTGACGCTAGCTGTCACAAGCTTTCTCGAAATGCACAGTAATACTTACTCAGAGATCCACAGCGTTTAGACCGTTGTTAGTCATCAGACCCTATGCAGCACTTCGGAATCTCGTACCTACTCTTTCTTTTTTTCAAATTTGTGTGTTCTCTCGTTTTAGGTTCGCGTTACTTTCTTGTTCACATGCCAGACTGTTCCGTCATATTTCAGATAAGCAATTTATTCACCCGGGCATTTTTCGCTTACCAGCTGGGGATGAAGGATTTGCCGGAAGTAAGTGGACAGGGTTTCGCTCTTGGCTAAGATTTATATGTACGTCACATGCTTTGAAAAAAAACTCGTCACCAGGAGCCCATACTGCATATCAATAGACGCACATGTTCACCAGCGCCTATTCATAACTAGATCCAAGGGACTACCAAACGGGTTTCTTCCACTGTGACCTGGCTGAGCTGTTCGGTTGGGTAACTATAATAAAACCACTAAAGTGCCATAATCCAGTTGCAAAGACCCAAGCTCTTGGAACACCAATCTTAGGGATAAACACAGGAGATATAAGAAGTATAAAAAATACAAAAGTGCATAGAATTAGGAATGAAGAAATTGAAATGATCAGCATACTAAGAGGCCAAAGGATGGAAACAGCGGCCCGAAATCGGCATTCCTGAAACAACGACATACCGAGTATTCTTTAGTTACTCATTGCTTGATGTTACCGTATTGCGGGACAGTGTACACCAAAGTAAGTGACTGACCGTTCAGAGAACGTGAGCGAGCCACCTTGTTTGGCTTTAGTCCAGAATATGGTATAGTATTACATGCCCGTAGGGTTCGTCGGATCGAGCGATGATGCGCAAGTAACGCCGGTCACGAGTTACCAATCTCCTAGTGTACTCGGCACGAAATGGAAATATTTCTGATCTACACAGTAACGCTGACGACGCTGTATGATGGCGGCTCTGCCAACCGACGATCATGACGCTACCGTAAGTCGCTTCCAAAGCATAAGGTGACGGAGAAACGCCTACTAAGCGATCTAGATCACCAAGGAAAGAAGCACTTAAAAGTCCAGATAGTTTTTCGAGTGTGTCGGCGCTGTGACTGCCCCGAGTTCAGGAGAGATGAGGTGCGAACACAGTCTAATACTATAGCTTCTCAGGTTCCAGACGGCTGTGTTGGGTGACTTGCAATGTTGACATTTACGACCTCCCATGGGCTCGAAAATTTACAAACCAAGTGGGGCACTAGAAGTATCACGTGACCAAGTACCCTGGAGTCCACATGATTACCGAAGTTTTAACCAGTTTCGAGGGTAGTTTGAAATGCGGTTACCACAAATTCGTAAGAAAACTAATGCGTATGTAGAAAATGACAGTAAACCAGTCTCCCCTTTTTACATCGTTGAAACCGATACTCACATGGGATAAAATCATTTTGCGATACCAGTTTTCATCTAGAGAATGCCTGCTGACATCCAAATACCAACATCGCTTGATGTGTTCTTAGATGTGGTATGCTAAATTAACATCCCGTGCTTTTCCTGATGGGGTTTGTTCTATGTAGCTTGTGAGTTGATGAGACGAATGCACCAAAATATCCCGTCTGTTGATCGCCATTTTATCCATCACGCCAAATGCCCTTCCACGCATCTACCCGTTTCGTATCTAATGATTGCACTCAGCACACACCAATCCAGGCGGATCGGAAGTCTGATAGTGCTGTCGGACTCAATCAGGTCATATGGGCACCATCGGTTGATAGACGTCAGTCGATATCGGTCCGGTTTCTCATTTGTGATGCAGAATACCGGTCGATGGCCGACTGGTTCGAGTGTCTGGGTTGTAATCCAAAAGTCACCGGTTCGAGTCTGCGTAACTGCGGACACATTCGCGCGACTGGTAGTGGTTGCGAAGCATCGGTATCACATCATCACAAACGGCAGCACATCAGAAATTTGTGCTGAAGCTGCGCCATCATACAACAATAAAGCGTAATAGATAATCCTGCTGATGAAAAGTAAGACGTAAAGTGACGCATAATCTGAGAAAGCCCCAGTGGTCTATTCCCAGCTAACACCGTGACTTTCACGAAAAGTTGGTCATCGTGTATGAATAGGGCGGTATCGGTAAGTCAGCTTCTTTGCAGTTTACACTTGGTTGCGCCACAATCGACCTTGCCCGAAGATAACTCAGCAAGTGAAGTACTTTAAGGTAACAGTTTGGTTATGAACGAATGGAGCTCACGGAAGATTCCGAAGCCTGTTGGGATGGAATATTCTGTATCATCAGGAAACTCCCGTAAAATTTTCTCTCTTATCGGATCTACCGGTGGCAAGAAACCAATTACAAGCAAAGTGATATATGAAACCAGCGCCGATTTGTGCGTTGGGCAGAGCACTTCGAAGAGCAGTTCAATTGGCCACCATTGCCTCAAGTTGTCATTCCCGTATCCAAGGTGTTCCTTGAAGTACCTCTCCGCTATCTGGGGCCGAGGTTGCCTATGAGCTTCGTCTTCTGAAGTGTCGCAGACCTCTCGACCCTGACGAATTACCTCAGAATTCAAGGATAGGGGCCCATCTCTTCTTTTTCAATTAACTGCTCTTCAAGACATTTGGAGCATAAAAGTCATCCCATCCGATTTGGGCTTCATAATTGACCAAACGGATTCCACAATCTATCGGGATATCAGCTTGCTATGTGTGGCGTCCAAAGTTTTTGTCTCCCTGCTCTTACAGATGTTCAGCTGACTACTCGAACAGCACAAACGCAAAGGACAAACTGGGTCTCGCTCAGTGTGGAGCTGTACTGATCACATCTTTGCGATCCGCTCCAGCCATTAGCCGTCGTTTGCTTTTTAAGCATACGTGCAGCACTTGACTCCGTTGGAGTTGTCTGCTAAGAAGTGGAGTGCTCGAGAAGTATGTTAACATATTTTCAAGTCATTCACTCTCGGGCCGAGTGCGAATGTACGGCAGACCTTTGCCCCTTTAGTATTACATATGGTGTGAGACAAGGCCATCCCGCGTCACCTTTCTTGTTCAGCTTCGTAAAAGATGGCTCTGAAAAACTGGAACCAGTGGTACCGAGATACTCTCGGCTGATCGGCTCTGTGAGTTTGAGTCTGCTGACTACATCGTCGTAATCTGACTCTTCGTAGACTGTTCAGTATATGTTGCGTAGGTTTGAGATATCTGTTTCACAGTTCCGAATGCATTACCCCTTCCAAGTGCAAGGTTTCCTCCAAGAATGTATAGAAGCTAATGCTACCCTCACCTCTCCGGCTCTTCTTTGGAAATGGTCGACATGTTCCTCCACCTTAGTAGTAGTTGCATTATCGTGAGCGGATGAGACCACAAAAGCCAGAATAGCTTTTTCCAACCTCCGACTTCTCGGGCGCCGGAGTGCTCAGCCTTTCACTAAAAGTTCGAGTCTACGAAAGGTGCTCTTGTCTGCTAAACCTGACCCGTTCGAATAAGTGATATCCAGAAACGGTCTGTTTTTATTGGCGTTGCCTCAGGAGCATCGCTGGCGAACGTTGTCAGCAACGCATTAGCAAAGATGAGGTTCGACGTCAGGTCTTCAGCCGATCATTGAGCTGCGTTATTTCCTTGCGTGCGCTTCGGTGACTCGGACACGTCCTTCATATGCCTGTTCAACGGCTACCCCGCCGCGCATCGTTTGCATGCGACGTAAAGGTGGCCAACACACCTGGATCCAGGGCGTTGACATTGCAGTTGGCCTCAGTGGGGCGTTCCAGACTCCCGGGTTGGGGGGGGGGGAGCACACCTGGTTTGAAACACCATCCGATATGGCCCGGAATCGTGCCCGATGGTGAACGTGTTGTGAAACTTTTTTCTTGACTGCTTTTTTTGTTTTTTTTTGCTGTTGACCACGTTTTACGGCACTGTCAATTGAATATAGGTAGCTAAGTTCGATGCTGCACCGCATTTGGGCTAAAGTGACTTATATTTATGCTTGTTTGGCAATACACTAGATCTTTCCCTTAACCTGTTACATTTTGATCGCTCGATTCCAGTAATTCTCCGCATATTTTGCGCTTTTCTCTATCGTTTTCGTAGATTTATATCTCCTGAATCACACCTCCACTTCCCCAAGATCACCCATACACTAGATCAGGTCTAAAATGCATAATTTTGCACTTGCTCTGTTCTCTTGTACTTACTGTCCAGTTTGTGTGATGTATTCTTCATATTATGTGTTTGCTGTTTGACTATGCGGACGATATCCTCTTGGTTTTCGATGATGTTGCCGCGGCAAAATCAACCCTGAATAGTCTGTCCAGAGTGATCCCATTGTTTGGTATGCACTTCGCATCTTCAATGTGCAAAGTGTTGCTACAGGGATCATCAGCCACTTTACGACTTCTTGACGCTTGCTAACGAGGAACTCGAGGTGGTTGGTCAATTCACTTATCTTTGCAGCTGCATCAACAACGATGGGCGCATATAAACTGACGTCAGCTCACGCATTGCAAAGGCCAGAACTGCCTTCTTGAACCTGCGGCATCTTTGGCGACGGAAGGGAGTTTCTCTTCGTCTGAAAGGCCGTGTATACAAGGTCACAGTGAGGGCCGTTCTGCTCTATGGTGGTGAAACTTGGCCCCTTCGGTCTGAAGGTCCAAGGCGCCTTCAAGTCTTTGATCATCGTTGTCTGAGAAACGTTGATAGTAGCGGATGGCACCAGCGTGTCTGCAACGATGATGTGCGTAAACAAGTGCTAGGTAGTGATAATCATGCTAGCTCCCTAGAACAACAGATAGCACTGAATAAGTTGCGTTGGCTCGGGCACGTGCTACGTATGCCTATTCACCGCTTACCTAGGAGGGACTTGTTCAGTCTACCAGATGTAGGGTGGCGCAAGGCTCGAGGTGGACAGAAGTTGACTTGGCAGCGGGAAATGAAATCACTGACGACCAAACTTGGTGCCGTTGATCCGTCTCGCCTTCCAGGCTGGAGTCCACGTGACTCGGCTTGTGCTTGGCTCGAGGCTTTACAGGACATGGCTCGCAATAGACACCAGTGGCGCGTCTGCTGCCGTCTCCTAATCGGATTGTCTGTTTAAAGTGTGTTTGGTGCTGAGTTATCTGCGGGGTAATGGCTGATTATGACGCGTGGCAGTGGAAGCCGCAAGGAAGCTGTCTCGCCGATGCCGCCTTATCTTTGCACGATAGCCAGTTGTCCCACACAAAGTGTAGGAGCCTTGGCCCTGAATGTTTGCTTAGGGCATTAAGGTTTTCAGGTAAGTCCCCCTTCTCTCCCTCTTTTTATTCTTTATTTCATAGGTCATCATGGTTGTATGGCAGAGAAGCATCAGTTCAAATGGCTGATGTACTGCTGCTATCGTTGTTGCTGTGTTGTTTGATGACCCCGTCATGGCTTCGCTGGATGTGAACGTATACAAGATGCTTAGTCGTCAAAAACCGATACCTCGATTAAATTGGGTCCAAGAGACAGTCGGTCGGTGCTGGAGGGGACGGGGTGCACGGTCCTCGTGAACCTCCTAGGTTTAATTAGTGGTTCCATGCATCCAGTGTGATACGGGCTACGACCTAGCCACCGCCTTGTGTACTCTGGTACGCATGGCAGCAGCAAAAACGCTGTTGCTGTGCATGTTAAAGGAGTGCAAGCCGGCTCCGTTGACGAAACGTCGCTCCGATCCACGTGCCTCTCGATTTTATTCCTTCGTCATCATCATCATTATACACCTTAGCTAGCGGTGGAAAACACCTCAGTTACTGTGTCGCAATAAACAAAAGAAAATAAATGCAAGTTGCATGTCAGCTGAGCCACCAGCAACGGACGGGCATCGTTCCGGAAAGCTACCAGCAAGCTACTAGGCAACAAAAAATTATTACGTAAGATTACATTATGCTACGAACTGAGATCGTGGTTGGAGGGGGGGTGCTAAAAGGGATGGGGAGGGACAAAGAAACTCACAGCAGGAACGCCATTGAAGTCGGCTCCGACATGTCAGCAAGTATATCTAGCCAAAAGTGTTCATTGTCTTTTTGGCCACAACCATGGAGCCGAGAAGCTCCAACCGAAGTCAACGTCGAAGTAACGGCCTTCATTGCTCTCACCAAGTTATCGCTTTGCCACCTCTCCTCTTCTTCCATCCACACGCCCGGCGCGCAAACAACACACGTCGCGGAAGCCGGTGGGCTGGCATGCGTAACACGCGGCGGAGCCTGGTGCGTGAAATAACGGTGCTGTGCGGTTCATTTCCTTTTCCTGTACCGTAAACAAGGCGTTGAACACGCTCCTTACTTACTCAATGTTCCCACCAGATGTGTGCCAAACTGCGAAGGCACCGATGGTCGAACGTAACTAGCCTCATTATGTCCGCTGATCTAAGGGGCCAGGTTTTGCAATCGTACAGTAAGGTCGAACGTACCGCTGCAGTGTACACTCTACCCATGGTCTCTCTGTAGGCTCGGGGGTCCTGTGGAGACCGTAGTGACAGGAAAATCTGGAACCGGATGCCGCCAACCATACAGCAAACACGCCACTGGTGCCAGTTGCGAGCAGTGGAAAACGTAATTTCCCGCTGCGGTGTCGTTGATTGTCGAGTGTACGGCGCTGTATGTACTGGTTTCTAACGTCTCTCAAATTGTCCAACACAAAGCACATCATCAAGCTTTCACTGCTATTTTTCTTTCAGTCCGTCGCATTCTTCAGTTCAGTAGAAATCGACTCCTGTTTACGCAAAAGTGCTGGCGACGATTGCATTACGCCGTCGAACCCCGATGGACTAAAGAAAACATACAATATCCCCCCAGGTACCTTAATCTTTCGTCAATCACGCTTTTCTTCACCAATTTAGGTCAATCGCTCACGATGCAAGAGATTTTAGAATGGACACAGGGTCGTCTGGACGCATGAACAATCATTTCAGAAACTTTCTTATTTGGACTTCTTGAAAACAGATTTTTCCCGTGGGATTTTATTTTCTTATTATTATATCCCAGACCGATGACAATCTCGCGCCACTTCTTTGATACAATCCGAAACGTCGCTTGAGTGTTCTTATCAAAATTAGGTGGGACCTGATTACAGCCGTTATGATCAGCACACATTGTCACTATTCCGTGGATGACCAACTTCTGTCCAGTCTGTCCCACGTGTCAGTATTTTCGCCTGTGAGTGCTTTGCGTTGCTTGTGTTTAACCCTGGACCGTTTGGAATATACTATATCCATCAAGTTATGTTAGCCAGACAAACAAGCTCGTTTTCAGTGCTTCATCTCAAGGCTAAGTATGATGCACTAAGCCACAATTTCATTTGGTGAATCGGCGACAATGATGCCACTAATCTCTTAGGCGGATACAGAGACGAATTGCTGGGCAGAATCACCACGGTTTCCGTCATCGCGAGAGCGCAGCCCCTGGTTAATTGATCTGTATTGGTTCACCGACGACAGAAGCCATGGTAATTCGTCACAGCTGTTCACGTAAAAACTGGTTATTAGCCTTTGTGATCACCTTCATCCTACTCCTTGGAAGCAACGGCTGAGGAATATCGTCCACCCACAAAGGTGTATCACCAGTGTTCTCCCCGTTTATGTATCCTGCTGCCCACAGTTCTCTCCATTCTAAGTTGCCTCACATAACCAGCCACATCAACGAGGAACTCAGTAGGAATTTCATAATTGGAGTTCGACTTCACATGCGCACTTTACTATGCTACGTCAGTTGACAGGTGATGAACACTCCGACTCTGCACTCCAGCTGAATTCATGAATGAAATGACTAACCGCATAAATGACTTTGGTGTCCTAATGCATGTAGGAGTACGGGGTTTGAAAATCGCTTCGTGTTTTTGATGATATGGGGCAAACAACTCGCTCAGTCTGTGTGGGGTCTCCGCTCCCCAACGATGTGTAAAGAAGATATTGTGCTCGAATAGATCCTAGTAGCCATCCAATGTGTTTTTGATGGCAGCCAACATAACGTGTCACAAATAAAAGCCCCTTTTTCATGCCCTGCCGAATGGAGTTGACGGTCGTATCTCGTTTCGCTAGTGTGATGTAGTGATCATTATTCCTGACTGAATGCTAAAGTGTTTCGTTTATCTGTCTGACCGCCGTCCAAGGTGTTTTGGATCAGATGTTTATTCGTGTGCAAACACAAGCATTCGCAGCACTAGGTTACTAGATGCCAACAGGATGACGAGTTGCTCTGGGCGTAAATCGGCCACAATACCGGTTCATCTTGAACATTTAGCCATCATTACTCGAATTTACAATCGTTCGGGAAACTCTCCTAACCCGGTTGCCAACTGAAGTAACTTAAGTCCAGCGATGAATGCCTTTGAGGCCCACCTAGCTTGATTCATCCTGAGTGCATGGATTTTTGTGACGATGAAGGCGATTTCAAAACTGCCAGTCTTAAAATGTCTGCAAAAACCTGAGATGGGATTCGATTTCGAGTCTCTGGCACCACACAACTTCGTCCGGAGCAGGGGTTCGAAAATGGCATCACCTAGTCAAAAAAGAGATAAGGGTCCATTATGTCGCCATCAGATTGATTAGACCCTATGTGTGCTTGTGTTACTGAAACGGAACTTATACATGAACTCGATAATTCCACTCTATCTTTGCTAGAGGCTGGCGGCTCACTGATAGTTGACATAGTAAGTCTATTTAAAGCTGTAGTGCCTAGATTGCACTGGCAGATAGCTGCAGGACATCACATGGGAATGTTTAAATGCACTAATCCTGCTGCGATCGCTTTCAGAGCGGCCACAGGCATCATACCTCAAGGGCTCAATAATCGCTGAGAGACCTGGTTCAATGGAAACCAGGTTTCTACTCAAGTGCATGTTCGCATTTCACAGAATTTTGGAACAGCTCCATATACATATATGCCTCGTGCCCGTTCCGCTTGAATCATTGGATCGTACCCATTCACTCATTTTTATAAGATGTGTTGGAGAAATTCCATTTTATTCTTCAGTCCCTGCACCGTGATTAAAGGCGCTGTGTGAGAATCCACAGAAGGGTCACTACTATGGGTGAAGCGCGTCAGCGCTACCTTAGAGTTTTCAGTCTTGTGAGATGATGAGCGACCAGCTCATCTGTTTTGTTCTGTGCCATGAAACCTTCCAGTTGATCATCTAACGGATATAAAGAACAATAATTGAACTCAGCCCAGCTGTGTAACCGTCCCAGGGAGACTGGTGTGACGGTTTGCGTACCTCTTCGACCCACTGAGTTATTCTGAGTGGACCCCCGGGCCTCTTGAGAGCTATCCCTAGCAGGTTAGTCAATAGATAGATGTCAGACAAACAGTTTCCTGGTCCTGCATGTTGGGGGTTTGCAATGGGGTGACGTCTATTTCTGCAAAATTATATCACTGCTGCCTTGCGGACAAGCATTGGAGCCAAAGGCTTTGGTTGGGGATCCTAATGGTTCTCGTGTCTAGGTTTGGGCGCTTTGGCAGTATGAGCCCACATACAAACATGACTACTTATTCAAAATTCAACCACATTCTGCGTCGACCGTCGCCCAGCTTATCAAGGGTCGCTTTATCTGCTGCATACAGCAGGGCGAATAAGCGAAAATATGCTACTGCTGATGTCTTCTTTCTTTTCCACCCGTTTCTCTTGCTCCCATCCCGACCCCCGTTACTAACCTTCCTGCCATAATTCAGAGCTTAATTGACAGCAACAGAAGTGCAACTGGAGTAGAATCATCTGCAGCCACTTTCCCACAACACCCATCGGATCTATCGGCAATACTCCCTTATAAGGCCGGGCTGTCCCGTTTCCATGGCGGCGTTCAACGTTCGCACCCTAAAACAAATAGGTCAACAGGCTGCACTCGCACGTACGTTGGACACACTGGGTATTTACGTATGTTGTTTGTCCGAAACTAGGATCAATGAACCTGATGGGGTTGTTGATTAACTGCGCCCGCCATGTTATCTCGTTATTAGCTGCACGCATCCAGAGACGCTGATGTTACAACTACTAACCAAGATGCAGTGTGCATCATTCTCAACTCTAAGGCTGAGTCATCGTTGGTTGATTAGTTTTCAGTGAACAGCCCGTTTGGCGACATCGATTAAAGTTGATTCATGAAGTAGTGCAAGGCGCTGTTTGTTTGTGTTTTCTGATTAGGCCCCCAAAGATTGCAGCTCTGATGCTGCCAAGGCCACCTACCACGATACTACCAGTTCAGAGATCACTGTACTTCCCAGAGGATATGAATGCACAGGAGGTTGCCTGGACTCTTCAGAAACTCAGCTAGTTGGCAATTATGGGCTCCACCTCGACCGTACGGACAACGGCAAGCGTTTGTTTCAAATGTGTGCGGAGCATCAGCTGTTTCTTAGTAGCACAGCTTTCAGACACAGTAGGCACCGAAGTGTCACTTGGCGTCCTCCTGTAGCTGAACAGCGGTGGACCCAAATAGTTACAGGTGGCGTATTTCCATCCTGGCTTGCCGCTCTTTCTGGAGTACTTGTGTCGACTCTGATCATACCATGGTACGCTGTCGTTTCTCCATGAAGTTTACCGGTAACGTAACAATCATCTCCCTGCATTCTCAACTGAGAAGTTATCTCAGCCCTCGGTCAGGCAAGCCTACCAGGATGCACCGCGCACCGAACTTTCGCTCTCTCGTACCAATGATACCGAGCTTCAGTAGAATAGGATCTCGGCCGCCATGCACGTTGCAGGAGCATCTGCATGTGGTGCTGTCAATCGTCACCGCACCAGTCACGGGATATCCGAGTGGTCGGTAAAACTGTTAGAATCCAGGAGAAAATTCTCGGTTGGATTTGGACACAATGTGACTAGGCGGACTAGTAGGCGCGAAAGCGGAGCCTGCGCGCTGACAATAAAGCGTGATGGACCAGTGGCGTTCAATAAATGGAGGTGGGAGCAGTAGGCAATCATCGCAAGCTCTCCTAGCTGATTCGCACCACTGGTCCAGGGAAAGCAGGTATCAGTGAAACAAGTAGACAGCGCGGGTGCGCTGATACACAATAAGGAGCACCGTATGCCTCGATGAGCGGAACACTTTCATGATCAGTTCAGTTGACCCGCTGCTTCCAGACCTCTTCTTACTCAGATAATGCAGGACGAGCCATGGACGGTTAATTTAGAGGATCCATCGGAGGCTGAGGTCAGAAACGCAGCCCTTAATTTTTTTTTCGCGCTGCTGACCGGATTCACTCGCATCTACACTATTTAAGGACGGTAGTGAGGTCCTTCATAAATTACTGACGTCACTGTTCGAACATGTGTGGAAGAGACCCTCCCGGCTAACTGGTGAATCGATTATAGTGGCTATATACAAGGGCAGTCGCACCCAATGTGCTAACCACAGTTGTGACAAAATTACTGGCATCGATTCTCGTTTGTCGCCTCAATGAAGGACAGGAATCCTGGACAGAAGAAGATCAGCCAGGTTCCCGCCTAGGACAGGGCTGCATAGACATGTTCACTTGCGGTAGGTGGTAGAGCAGCGCTACGCATACCACAGACCGACAATACCTGCGTTCCTCGATTTCAAGTGCGTTCGATTCAGTCGATTGATGCATTCTTGTCGAAATATTTAATTATTTTACGTGCACTATACTCAAACACGACAGGCGGAGACAGAGTCTTCGGTGAATTATCGAATATATTCCCGACAAAAAGCAGCATTCATCAGCGTTGTCAAATTTCCCCATCTTCGTTCAACTTCGTCGTGGACCGCATCATGGGGTGTTCCTTTACGGAGCCTTGCGATGCAGACGTTGTGGTGCTGCCTGGACAATATTGTCTTACTGTTTAACGATGCTGGGGCGGCGCCATCAACTCTGAATAATCTCTCTAGAGTGGCCCCATCATTTGGCATGCGCTTCGCACCAGTGTTGCTGCAGTACCACAAGTCA